GCTCTCCCTGGGATCAGTTCTGCTCCATTGGCACCTTGGAGTTCATTGTCCCATTCCAGCTCCAGCCCATCAGTCCCACCCTGCTTGTTTTTCTCTCTCCAGCCCACGCTGTTTGTGCTCCTGGGCTGAGGTTTGGATCATTTGTCCTTGGTGCCCAGCTGGAGCAGGAATTGTTTTGTGTCCCTGCTCTGTGCACAGAGCTCAGCATCCCCTGGTGTGAAGTTCAGAATCACACACTAAAGCAGCATAAAATGTAAAAAATATAAATGCTAAAACCTGAGGCCTCAGAATTGCGAGTCTTATAGGCCCTAGCATGTGATACTTGTGAAGATGGGTGCTTGTAAGAGTGTAGACCTAAAAACAGTTACACAGGCACCTTCCCAATTAATGAAATATGTTCAAGGAGCTGTTATTTCTGATGTGTAGCACTTCCACATAGAAGAAAACAAGGTTTAGAGGAGCAGTTTCCAGATGCATGAATCAATTGCCACTTGAAAAATTCCACCCTAAATCCAAGAATTCCGCCCTAAACCCAAGAATTAGAGTTGCTACCCTTGACTTAATCCAGTGTTACAATTTGTAACTCTCAGGAGTGAGCAAAGATCAAACTTACTGGGGAAGCAAGAATTGCAGCCAAAACTAACACGAAACTGTAACTTCCAGAGGAAATATTTAGAGGCATAATGAGAGGGATGGGAAGCTAAACATGAAAATCAACATGGGGAAACGAAGCCCTCAGACTTGGCCCGTGTGCTGATGGCCACAATCAAATTAAGGCAAATTGGAAAGGGGTCAGGTCAGAAAATAAAATAAAGCCCATGAACTGGGAGAGGATGCAGGGCAAGAATTGCAGCAAAGCAAGAAGTAGAAGCCTCATGCAAAATTTCATTTTCTCTATTTTTATTCTGGATTTATACCAAAGGATTAAATTTAGCCTCTGCTTGGAGGTCAGAGAGCCACAAAGAGTTCCTCAGTTCCCTCCTTGGTGAGGGCCTGGGAGTTGCTCCATCCCTATGAGGGTTTCTGGATGTGCAGTTTGCACATGACCAGTTTAGGGACAGGCTACGGACTGGGAGGAGGATCGGGCAGGAACGATGAGGCTTCCAAACTATTTTATGATTCTGAACTATTTTACAATTCCAATCTATCTTCTAACTACCTAATAACCTTCTGGAGTGTATATTGTGTGTTGCTCACAGGCCTGAAGATCAGTATTATAAAAGATCAGTATTATAAAAGATCAGTATTATAAAAGATCAGTATTATAAAAGAAGTGCCCCTTTTAAGGGGATTTTCCAATGGTCAGACCACATTTTTTCAACATGTGGGGCTCCCAGTTTGCTGGGAGTGTACAGGGACGTGCCAGGGAGTGAAGGAAGCACAGCAGCCTGGGGAGAGAAGAGACCTCTGCATCCACATGGATCTGTATTTACAGTTACACCTCAGTTTGCAGAACAGAAATGAAATATTTATCTGCAGAGCAACTGGAGAGGCTATGTCAGCAATATCCTGATCCCTGCAGAGGGGATGCACCATTAATAAGCCACGTTGAGTCATTCCCTACAGGAATAGTGTTTTTCTCCAGGGCCATTGCGTGCTCCAGCTATTCCAGAGCCATCCCACTTGCTCTCTTTCCTGACTGACCCGCCTGGCATCTGCCTGTGCTGCTGTCAGAGCGAGTTTACTCCCACCACGGGGCTGGGATTTATATCTGCCATGTGTTTCTCCTCTTCCTAACACTCCAACACTGACACTCCAGCTCCCTTTCCATGTTCTCTGAAAGAAAAAGGGATGTTTTTCAAGCGTGGCCTCAATTTTGCAATCTGAGTTTTTGATGCTTTTAGCAGAGCAGAGCCTTCAGCTCTTCATCCTTTGGGTCCTTTCCCTCTCCAGCCCGCAGCAGCACACACTCCAATTTTGGGATGCCACAAGCCAAGCTAGGGGGATCCTCCTCTTCTCCAGGGTGTATTCCAAAGCAAAATAACAGGATGGGATGAAACAGCTTCATGTTGCACCAGGGATGGTTAAATTAGGTAGCAGGAGAAATTTCTTCATGGCAAAAACTTGGCTGGGGCTGTGGTGGAGTCACCATCCCTGGAAATGTCCAAAAAATGTGTGGATGTGGCACTGGAGGATATGGTTTAATGGAGAGCATGGAAGTGGGGCTAGGTTTCATGATCTTAGAGGGTTTTCCAACTTTAATAATTCCATGATTCTATGATAGGAGGAGACAGATTTAACCCACAGCCCTGAAAGACCAGGTTTGAGGAGGTGACAAACATCAGATTGTCTAAATTGGCAGCTTTAACTCACATCCAAAGATCTCAGAATCTGAATTTTGTGGTCTTCTCTTTATCTCTTCCCCCTCTGGGCATTTTGGAGGGAGATATTTGCTCTCTTTCCCTCAACATTTTGTCATGTGGCACTGACTGAGCATGAGCCCAGCAGATTGAGAAACACCCCTCTGGTGGATGCCTGGGCTGGAATTCTGCGTGGGTCTGGTTCCCACATCCTGGAACAACTCCTCCATGGATTGCTGCTCCAGGAAGGCAGGGAGGAGGCAGGAAGCACATGGGAACGCCAGGAGGAGCCCAGGTTTGCCTCCAGGGCTCTGCAGTCGATGAGTTTTGGTTGTGCACGAAAATGTGAAACCTGTTCAGTCGGTTCCATTGCCACCAGCAGCATCCTGGGCCTTTGGAAGCCCAAGGACAATTGGCTCATTCATTTCCTGGGGTTAGTTTATTAAAAAAAAAAATAAATCTATTTGTAGTGTTAAGCTTGTGATGGGGTGCAGGAATGGGATGACTTGGAAATCCTTGGAGCACCAAATGCAACTGGCTACTGACTGAGCTCTGGCTGTGACCTTGATTTGATAATTAATTATGCAACAAAGTTCACAGTTTTCAAACATGCAGCTGTATTAGAAATAAAATAAAAATGTTTAAAAGTGTGGTTTAGCCAGGATATTGGAAAACCACTTGGTTAAACTTTTGTGTCCTACACTGGTGAATCTAATAAAATAAAGTAAAATGTAATATGAAAATGACCACTGCTAAGCATGAATTTGGCTGAGTTTTGCCTCTTACTTGACCCCAGGGAAGATTTTCCAGCAGAAAATCTTCAGCATGATGGAAAGAAAAGATCCTTGACTTTCAGGTAGCAAAGGCTGCTTCAGTAATGGAAATACAAGTTAACAATTAGGGCAGTTTTGAGAGGCATCCATTGGGTTTGGATTGCTTTGGCTAAGCCAGGATTCTCAGGAATATTGACTAAAAATATGCAAAATATAAATATTAGGCTCATAAATCACCTAAATGAACAAAAGCCAAGGATAAGCTGGTGCAGCTTTTGCATTGGAGGAATTATATTTAATTTATTAAAGACAAGTGAAAGAGAATTTTGCTGATGTCCCTCAGAGATGCCAGCAGGTGCTGCTGGGAGGAGCACGTTTCAGATGCTCCCACCCCTGACAAAGTGGGATGAGGAATTGCTGTGGGCACCAGCACCTGGGAGAAGTCAAGAAAGTCAACCATTAAAGCAGATAGAAACCACATTTCAAGGAAATAGGATATGATTATAGTAAATAATAGGTTGTATGAATGCTTGGATGAATTGCTAAATCCTGGAATTTACTGCTACAGGACACAAGTGGCTCTGGTAGGACTCTAAAAAATGTAACTGTGGATGTGGGTTGTTGAAGCCATTTATTTAAACATTATCTACACCTTCACAATTATTAAGTGTTAATTACTGAAGAGTAAATCTGGAGGGTGTATGTTTTGTGTGGGCCTGGTGTTTGGCTTCTTGGGCTCGTTGATCACTGGGCAATACCTCCAGGTCCAAAATTTATTCCTTGTTTGAGTTTTTCTAACACAGCCTGGTGCTGTAGCTTGGTTCCTGATGGTCAGGAGTTGAGGTGGCACCTGGGGACATGGCTTAGTGATGCTGGGTTAATGGTTGGATTTGATGATCTTGGAGGTCTTTTCCAATTTACTTATTCTGTGATTCTAGGACTTTGACATGCTGCTACAGGTTACTGGATGCAGGGCTTGTCGTGGGCTTGTGCACATGGCACCAACACAGCTTTTTACAAGGGCACAGTGATAGGATAAAGGGGGAATGTCTTTAAACCAAAGGGGATTAGGTTTAGATTAGAAATCAGGAATAAATTACTCCCTGGGAAGGTGGGGAGGCCCTGGCACAAGGTGCCCAGAGCAGCCCCTGGATCCCAAGGCCAGGCTGGACAGAGCTTGGAGAAGCCTGGGACAGTAGGGAGGTGTCCCTGCCCATGGCAAGGGTGGCACTGGACGGATTTTAAAGTCCTTCAACCCAAACCATTCAATGCTTCTTTGATTTCCTGCCCCAAAAGGGATGTTTTCTCCAGGTATCTCTGCTTGTCTTACTCGCGTTGCTCTCCCAGGGAGTGCGGCTGTGTGTGCCACGGGGTGGGACGGGCTTTGCCGCCGTTCCTTCCATTCATTTATTTGTTCATTGCCCGTGTCAGTTGCACGACAAACATTTCCTCAAGGCTCGCCGCTCCACACGAGGCCGCGCTGGGCGGTGCCGCGGCCGGGCACGGATGACTCCGTCCTCGGGGTTGCGAAAGGAGACGTTGAAGACTGATAAAATAAAATAAATAAAATAAAGGTGGGGGGGAGTTTTAAAAGTTTAAAAATATTAAAA